TATTAATCTCATTGTACTTGTAAACATTGTAGCACCTAAATAAAGAAAACCCTAGTTGCCCCCGTGGACTAGCACGATCAATCTGATCGTGTGAACCACGTAAATTCTTGTGTTCTTCTCTTGTTTTTTGGGTTGTGCGTATTGCGTGTGTAACGTTTGACCTAACAGTATAGCCCATTGAACTGTGTGGTCCAAAAGCAAGTAATGTGGTAGAATTAAAATTGTAACAAACCAATCCAACTTACCAATTTTGTACTAAAAATTGACATAAACCAACATGAAAATTTTAATAAAGAACATAAAATTTTAAAAATAAAATTAAGTGCTTGGACTTTAAAACAAATAATTTACTCAAACTTTTTACTGGTACAAACGTTTATACATTGTATATATTTATGTAAAAATTAATTTAAAAAAATTAAAAGGAAATCATTGATTCAAAAACTGAATATTTACAGTTGTTATATAAGAACATCAAAAAAAATTGTAGTTATAGAAACTCAAATATTTATTATCATTACAACTGAACTTTTATTCTTTGGCATGAGCAATCTTTTATACAAAAACAACTTTACGCATATAAACATTACACACACACACATATATAATAAATATATATACACGTTTCGTTTAAACAATATTTAATTTTTTGATGGTATATGTATCCACATACCCACACAAACATATATAAGTGTGTGTCTATTATATTTTGATTTTACCATTTAATAATTAATACAACAAATAAAATGCATATTGTAATACTTTTTAGAAACAATTCCAAATTTATTTCAATGATCACAATAAAAGGTATACATATATGTGTGTGTATCTGGGGGTCTTCACAAAAACAGCCTCTTTGTCTCTCAAGATAGAGGTAAGGTCTACGTGCATCTTACTCCCCCCCCCCCACCTCCAACACCCACCAAAGACCCTACCTCCGGTATCACAAATTTGATCTTAGCCAACAGGTCCAGAAAGGTGTACATGATCACAAACAACTGTTTTTTAAAAGTTCGATTACTAAATAAGATGAGACCTCTAAGGTGACTGAAGAACTCAACGACGCGTTGACAAAAGAAGTACAAGCTCGCCATAAATCCAGTCGATAGTATATAGATAGAGAGTCCCTAGCCCGAGAAACTAGTTCTCTCCAGTGTCTTTGACAACTATATACGAAAGAGTACGATAACAGGCCTTCCATTTCCGCCATGTATTGCAAGGATACACCAATGTGATACATGAATGCTAGGATTTAAAAATTCAAAAAGATATGAGGATCAGTGGAGCGTTTACACAAGTATATGTGTGTGAGTTTATTCAAATCTTAGACCATACCAATAAAGGAAAAAAGTTATTTCATAATTCATACATTAAATATGTATGATAAATACATATCATGCTTTTACTGTTACTTGGCGCACACCCCCCCCCCCCC